AGAAAGGTCGACAGCACACACAAGTTGTTTCCACCAGAGGGAAGGAAACGTGACCTACAGACCACATGACAGAGGCAAAACCACAGGGAAACAGGGAGGAAATCTCAAGTTGATAGTATGTTCCCACTAAGTGTCACTTGGGACAGCAACCTTTAGAGGAAAAAAGTTAAATCTTAAATATGTAGGAAACACATTTTATAAACAAATAGCTACTGATATTCTCAAACTGAGGGTCTGCTCTTCGCATCCCACGTGCTAAATCAGTTTTACTCTTAAACTACAACTGTTTTCTCGTTTTGCTCTTCTGAGAGAGTAGTTAAGATACAGAGGCAGAGCAGACAACCTAGGTTTGCAACTCAGCATCCCCCACCCCTTGCAAGCTCTGTGACTCTGGGCAAGCTTCTTAACTTCCCTGTGCCTCAGTGTCCTCATCTGTAGGATGGGGACAGCAAGACTCTTTCACTCAGAGGACACTGTGCAAATTGAATGAGATACACGTAAGGAATTAGGAACAGTGCCTGATACACACAGTAAGGGCTAAATGTTGACTACTCTGTCTTCCTCCTAGACCATCTAATCCTAAATGTCCCCATTTATGGGTACATCTGCTACGTGAATCATTTTCCTGTTCTGTGTTTCCCACGCTCCTCCGGAATAAAAAAAAAATCAACCTGTTAAAAATTTGTCTGAAAAGGTCATTCTACCACTTGGTAAAGGGAGACACCCAAAGAGGTATCCACCTCTTCTTAACAAGCCAGGTGAGGGGCTCCTGGCTGGCTCAGTTGGCAGAATATGTGACTCCCAATCTCAGGGTCATGAGTTCAAGCCCCATGTTAGGCATGGAAGCTACTTAAAATAAAAAAATGAAAAATGAAAAATTTTAAAAAAACAAGCCAGGGGAAGGCCAGATCCAAAAGGCAAAGCATCATTCCTCTACTCTGGGAGACAGCCTGTAAGAGTGGGAGCTGAGGTTTATCTCATCTCCTATTATCAGAACCCCTAGGGTACCCCTTATCCCCACTCCCACCCACAACAGAGAACCACTGCCCTAACTGATGAGAAAAGAAATCGAAGAGGAAACAGCTCTGTTATCTTCTCCCACACCTCACAACTGACTTGACACACCAGTGAGTCACACACTGTGGCCATGGTATCCCCTGGGTTACGCTCCTATAAACAAACAAGGAAACCCAAAAAGGACACCACGCATGGAGCAGGGCTCCTGATCTGTGCCTTCCACCGACCTCTCGGCCATCTGGCCAGGCTCACAGACCCCTTCTTAGAAGACAGGGTTGAAAACACAACATAAAGTACAGATGACTCAGAGGAAACCGACCGTATTGCAATGCAGCTATGAAAACTTGCAGAAAGGCTGTGATAGAAGAGCTTATCAATGCATTAAATAACAAGATCGACCAGCACACCTTACAACGAAGGTAATTTCAGAGCCGTGATGAGTAGAGGTATTTCAAACCATCTCCACCGCAGCAGGACATGAAAATCTTGATTTCTAGCGGTGATGAAGCCACAGGGCCTGCTGATACCACCGTGCTTTGTTTTCTGGGTTCACCATGAAAGGAAACATTGCATTTCAGTTGGAAATCAGTGAAAATAAAGACGCCATGTCATTTCTTTCTTTACAAGTTCACAGAATCCCCAATTTCCCTCTACAGACTCTTCAGGGGTCCTAGGACCTCCATTTGAAAGCCATGCTGAGGAGCGTGCTCTATTTAAGAGTTTCCCCCTGATCATTCATTTAATCTACAGTTAGCAAATACCCGCTTTACTCTAAGCACAAGTAACACAGAAGAAAAATACAAAATTAACGTAAGACTTGGGGGCAACTGTGCCCTAAGAACTATCAGTTTCCGCTCAGCTTCCTCTAATTTTGGCATAATTTTGTTATCCACTGCCAAATGCATAACCAAAAACGGAGTGCACAAACAGAAATGAGCCACAGTGTCTGCTCAAGTCTACTGTCTGCAAGTATTTCAGAAGCTGGAGGTCAGTGCTATGGAAGAAATACAGGAGCCCTCCATGCTTCCACTTCCTCGATAACCAAACCAGCCGTGCCCAGACTGCAGACACTGCACAGGGATGAAAGGAGCAATTCCTGTGAAAGTTCTCCGAGAATACTGAAGTCCTGCCTGTGGTTGGTTCCTGTTACACCGTGACTGTAAGCGATTCACCCGTGCAGGGACCCAGGAGCCTCCCACAGCAGAAAGGGCCATACAGGGTCCCGCAGAATCACAGGAGGATCTCTTAAGGAAGAGGAAGTAACACACGGGGATTTGGGGGGAGGAAAGAACCAAAAAAAAAAAGAAAGAAAAACAAAGAAAACCTGTCCTGCTGTGAATTCTACCATGAAGCAGTCTGAAGGAACCAAAGACAGAACTTGCCAAGGACGTGACTCTGGACACAGTTTTCTATCCAACACCACATCTCTTGGTGTAACAGATACCGTGAGTCAACAAAAGGGACCAGCAAAGAGCTTCCTACTCACTGCCAGACACGTCAGAAAGTCTAAAGCTCCACTGGGAACACAGGTACAAGTCTAACACATGCTTCATATTTGCCCGGGTGTGGATTATTCTATTTTTATTCCAACTGAAACTGATTACCTGCCGTGTTCATACACCTGATTTGTCTCAGGTATAAACACACAGGTCAGTCTAAACAAAATTCCCTTCTCATTGACATCTAAGAGAGAAAATGAGAAAATAGCCCCAGATACATTCAAAAAGAGAAACTTCTAGTTCCAACTTGTTTATTATAAATGATTTCCCAAATTCAAGAACACCGGAGATCACTCTGTATTGAGACAATAATTACAGAAAACTTATGGACGTTAGAAGCTGGTTTTGAATGAAGTTACCATCAAGTAGAAGCAAGATTGCTATACTTTCTCTTTTTAAAGGTGATACAATGATACACAGATATGCAAATAATCTCACTGCCAAAGTGACATCACTAACTCAGACAAGGTTAAAGTTAACTTGAATTTTAAAGTCAGAGGTGTCAAGACAATGGAGAGCTGGGTCTGTCCTACCAACCTCATTGGGCTGTGTTGAATTTCTTTCTTTTTTTTTTTTTTTAAGATTTTATTTATTTGACAGAGAGAGATCACAAGTAGACAGAGAGGCAGGCAGAGAGAGGGAGGGAAGCAGGCTCCCCGCTGAGCAGAGAGCCCGACGTGGGACTCGATCCCAGGACTGAGATCATGACCTGAGCCAAAGGCAGCAGCCTAAACCACTGAGCCACCCAGGCGCCCCTGCGTTGAATTTCTAAAGCGTAAAATGATTTCTACAGAGGCGCCTCTTGAATGAACATTAGAAACATCATAAGCATGTGCTTTTTTTTTTTTTTTTTTTTTTTAAATTATCACATGTTTTCCAAATCTGCAATATCAGGTTTCACACCCTTGTAACCGCACGCTGCCGGGGGCGGGGGGAGAAGGGGGAACCCACGTGGTATACTGTTCACCCTGCCAGGTATCAACTCTGCAGCCCCAGGACATGACAGGTTTGTCGTTGGAGCAGCCTTTGGATTTTCCTGAATAACCAGCTTACTGGGCTCTCACACAGAAATCGTTAGTCTTGGAAAACCAAGTTCACAGATACAGGGAATACACTGGTAGTTGCCAGAGGCAGAGCTGGGAGCTGGGAGGCGAGGGGGGAAGGCAGAAAAAACAGGTGAAGGGGGTCAACAGGTAAAAACTTCCAGCTATGGGGCACCTGTGTGGCTCAGTGGGTTAAGCCTCTGCCTTCAGCTCAGGTCATGATCTCAGGGTCCTGGGATCGAGCCCCATATTGGGGGGGGGGGGTCTCTGCTCTGCGGGGATCCTGCTTCCCCCCAACACTCTGCCTGCTGCTCTGCCCACCTGTGATCTCTGTCTGTCAAATAAATAAATAAAATCTTAAAAAAAACTTCCAGGGGCGCCTGGGTGGCTCAGTGGGTTAAAGCCTCTGCCTTTAGCTCAGGTCATGATCCCGGCATCCCGGGATGGAGCCCCACATCCCACATCCGGGCTCTCTGCTCAGCAGGGAACCTGCTTCCCCCCCCACCTCTCTCTCTGCCTGCCTCTCTGCCTACTTGTGATCTCTGTCTGTCAAATAAATAAAATCTTAAAAAAACAAAACAAAACAAAAAAAACAACTTCCAATTATAATATATTTATAAAATAAATATGTCACGGGAATGTAATGCACAGCATGATGACCACAGTTAATAATACCGTATTGCATATTTGAAATGCTAAGAGAGTAGATCTTAAAAGTTCTCACTATGAGAAAAAAAAATTTTTTTTCTAACTATGTATGGGGACATATGTTAACAAGACAAATATTCACTCATTCATTTTGCAGTATAGACAAATATCAAATCATTATGTTGTACAACTGAAATTAATATAATGTTATATGTCAATTATACCCCAATTTAAAAATTTTAAAAAAAGAAAGAAAATGCTCAACCTTGGTATACATGTGTTGCTATATCATATAAATAATGCTACGCAGCCAAGATGTTCCCAATGCCTTTGGTTTAAATGCAAACTCCTTTCCAGGGAGAGTTTCTACAGACTCACATGGTATTTTGGTAAAAGGCAGGAAATGGGAGTATTTTCAAATTCTTCTGTACAGTTAAGAGAAAACTGGTTCAAATGAAAATTCGTACCTGGTCCCCACCACCCTAAAATTTCTATTCGGAACACTCAAAATCAAGGCCTTGTGCATGGCTAAACCCTACAGCCACATTGCTCGGCACACCCTACCACGAACAGCAAGCCGTAAGACCTGCTAACCAGCATGAGGTCCCAGGTGGGGCCACGGCTAAGGACTACCGGCCGTCACAGTGCCGTCACCAGATGAAAGGGAACTACTCAAAAAAAAAAAAAAAAAAAAAAGAAAGAAAGAAAAAGAAAAGAAAGGGAACTACTCAAAAAAAAAAAAAAAAAGAAAGAAAGAAAAAGAAAAGAAAGGGAACTACTCA